TTAAAAATAAATATTTAAAAAAATATTTAGATATTCTGATATTCTGAAGAGTTGAATGTGCATGCATCTTTTCATAAGATTCTTGAAAGATAGTTTTTCTCACAGAAGTTATGACATTTCTCAGTATGTTTCTAGTGGATATGTGTTTTCTCTGAGAATTCGGTGTTCCAGATAAGTAATCTGATTCCTAGGGACCATTCATTTGGGAAGGTAGGCTATGATCTACAGTACAATGGTGAACAGATTTGCATAGGTTTCCAAATTACCAACACTTTTTCAATAGCACCACATCAATATGATTGTTGCTTTGGAGTGAAGTGGTGCTATCACTGTAAAAACAAAAGCAATACGCCCTGCAGCTCTGCCATGCTTGCTTACACATAGCAAGTTTAACCAAATATTCCAAATCCTGGTTTCAGGAATTGTTGGAACTGAAGGCCAAATGTATCATGAATGTGTTCAGCAGCAGCAAAACAAAGTTCAAAGAAATCTAAGTGACCTCAGAGGAACATGTGTAACAAAAAACAAAAGTAAATAAATATAGGGAAGGGAAGGGAAGGGAAGGGAAGGGAAGGGAAGGGAAGGGAAGGGAAGGGAAGGGGTCAATTCTCCTTAGTATGACCTATTCTGAATACCCTTCTAAGAAATGAACCTGTGCAGATCTAATTGTTTTATCCTCTTTTAAAATTAATGGAGGAGTGAGACTTGCAGAAGCAATAGGAAACCAACTTCATGAAACCATCTGCCATTCCTGGAGCATCTCAGGGATGACCCATGTTAATGCCTTACACTTGCAAAGTTCACAGAGAAATAGCTAATTGGACAAGCCTAACCCACAGCTCAACAAGCTGGCAGAAGAAGAGAGCATGCAACTGGGCAGTGCAAACCAAGCATGTGGAACAAATTATTCCAAAGGGAGTAAGAGAGTCATAGCGTCTGAGTGCAGGCTTGTTAGGTCTAATGAGAACCAAATCCCTGAGTCAAGTAACACTGTGGAGAAAAGACAGATGTCCCCTGAAAATGGCAGAGAGAATAAATGGACAGTGATATTCTACTCCTCATTGCTCCTGAAATTAAGCTCCATAAAATCTAATATGCTTGGCAAATAGAGCTTTTGAAAAAAGGCCTCATCATCATATAGATTAATGATTAACTTTCTCAGCCCCCCAAGAAATGTGGGCCACTGTTTGGGGATTTTCTTTTGCAGCAGAAAATTTTTCTACATGGGTTTCCCCAGAACCCAATGGCTTTTCTGGTTATGGGTGTACATCAGATCTAAACATCATCTGCTTTTTTGTGTGTGCATTTTTCATAGCATTCTGGCTCCAGTATAATCACTAACCTTACTTAGAGTTAATGGTGCCAATATGCTAAATCCTCACAGGAAAGAGTTTGTTGCATCCATAATTCTCAAGCTTCCCATAAGACATTAGGAACATTTGAGTTTTTGAACAAAATACACATCTATTTGGATCAGCAATTTTATGCTCCATTTATGCTAAATGAAGCGAAGTACTTCATTTAAAAGAAAGGGAATCTTGTCATGAATACCTATATATAAAACTCTTATATAAAAGATAAATTCTCTTGAAAGACTCTAAAAACATGTTTTGAGATTTGAAATCAATCAATCTCTTAGGAACTAATTGTGGGATATAATTCTTTTAAATCTATACTAACAAATAATTAAGAATTGCCCATGCAAATAATCATAGGTGTTCTTAAAACTACATTAAAATTATGCTATAGTACTTTTAACCACTTTAGATTGTTTTGATGAAATTGTCAGCAAATTGGAACATATTTCTATTGTTCTGGGCATTACCAATTAGTTAATAATTTTGTTTATAAATATTTGAAAAAGTTGGGAAAATCACCCAACTGTTTACCACAATGAATCTTGGTAGGCTTACAGTCGAAGGCATATTAACTGATGCACTGTAAGAAATTGATTCAGTTCTTGTTGGTGAGTTGCAAACAACTGTAAAACTAAAATACACCTTAAGGTGTGGGAAATGGCTTTGACTAAAAAATGAATACAAGAAGCTTTGAAAAACCATACAATGAAAGATGGATTCATACAAATCTGATCACTAGTTACAGTAATACTGTTTTGAAAAATAGAAAACATTTGTTCACCACCTGAATAAAAGTAACTCTGTAAAGAAATATTAAATATAGATATTTGTTAAGATCATGTATATAAAAAAATTAAAGGAAAACAAAAATAAACCAAGCTATTAAGAGAAATAAAATCTCCAGAGCCCAATAGCATATCTAGCAGATATGTGGCTGGGGCAATGGAACAGAAACTGGGCAATTATAATTGGACTGATATTCTATTCTCGGGCAAGGTGCTGGAGGATCTGGAGCAATAACCATTTCTGATGAGACAGATTATCTGTCTGGTTTCAGAATTGCCATGAAACATATATTATTTTCATCATCTTTATGAATGAACTACATTGAGGATTGATGAAGTGTGTCATTCAGTTATGCTAGATATCTCAGAAGCATTTGATACCTTAATCATGGTATGGCTAGGTTACTTTACCCACTATTTTAGGGTGATTCTGGCCTTTCTTGGAAAAGCTATTGCATTAAGTGGTAAGAGGCAGGTGGTAACCGGCAGTTATTTGCCAATAGTGTAATTTCTTTGGGTGTGTGTTTATGTGTGGAGATCCAGTTTGGTATAGTGATTAAAGGCACAAGGCTAGAAACTGAGAGATTATGGGGTTTAGTCCTGCATAGGCACAAAATCCACTGGGTGTCTTTGGATCAGTCACTCCCTCTCAGCCATAGGAAGAAGAAACTGGCAATAGCAAACCACTTCCAAAAATGCTGCCAAGAAAACTGTATGGACTTGTCCAGGCAGTTGCCAGGAGTCAAGACTGGCTTTGGCATGCATACATGCACACATAAATAATTAGCTAGCTAGCTAGAGTTTATAAGACAGCTTCCCTGAAATTTGGGGGACTGGTGACACAGGTATACTGAAGTCATCCAACAAATATACACTATCTCATTATCATCTACATCCAAAAATGTTGTTCAAAGTTCAAAAAATTAAAGGAAAAACATCTGAAATTAGCCATGGACTAGAAGAGGGCAAACAAAATGAAAATTCAGAGGTTCTCCTGATCAGTTAAGAGACAGAACAGAGATTCAGTTTGTTTTAGGTATAATTATACTTTTTTTTTGAAGCCTCAGTTTCACAAATCCCAAGTTTCAATGATGACTAAAAATATATTTGCACAGTTCAGACTAGCATCCTCACTTTTGGATAAGTCAAATCTACTCATGGTGATACATGCCTTAATTATACCCTTTTTGGACTTCTACAGCATGTTCTATATGAAGCTGCCT